ATTTGACTTCACTGGGTCTTTTCACATAAGACTTACAAATCAAAGTCCTTGGTCATCTTGGTTATTTTCAGTCACAAATGGAATTTCAACAATAAATAGGTTAGCTAGAAATAAAAACTTTCCTCTTTTGTTTTTTCTATAAATTTCATCCTATAAGTTTATTTCAGGTACATTAAATGTTTACCTTTAGGCAGCTCCACCTGCCCAAGTCACATTTATCTTTATTTTTAAATGACAGGAGTTGAAATGAAATACCTTAACAACACCTAAAAAATAAGTCACAGACTCTGAGAGACTTATTCATGGTTGTTACTAAAAGGTCTCCTGTTGACTCTGGATCAGCTCATAAATGGTAGGTGTTAAATTAGTTTAAAGGTCTCCATTTAAAAAAAAAGTGCTTGGCAGTCAGAGGATGTATTTAATCTGTATGTAACTAAGTGTTTAACTATAAGGCTGCACACACATAATTTTTATACTTATAATAAAAGGCTTTATATCTCTTTTTTATCCACAAGCAAGTATTGCCAGCAGCCTCAAACTCTCAGCTTTGTCATAGTATAAACAAGGAGGAATTGAAATATTCATTTTCTATTTCTTCATTATGGAGACCATATACACATTATCCAGGGCACTGCTTCATCTTCACATGTTTCATATCAGTCATAAATGATGCATTATAATCTAATAGTGCAGCGACAGTCATAGCTAGTAGGTATTCAGGGCTAACCTCTCTAGATAGAGGCCTTTATCCTACAGTGTGACTTTGCAACAGAACCCTGTCCTGCATCAGACTGAAGGATGTGAGCCCTCACTGCCACGTGCAGTAGCCTTAGCCAGGAGGAAAAAGGCAATTAGCACACTAGCACTAGTTAAGGGGTAAATCAGGGGTGGGCAATTATTTCAGCTGGAGGGCTGCTTAATGAGGTTTGGTGAGCTTTCACAGGCCGCATGGGTAGCTCTGCCTTTCGACATTTGCTCTGCCCCCAGTCCCACCCCTAATCCCTGACCCTTTGCCATGGGAAGTCCCTCCCCTCACCCCCCAGAAACACTCCTTTTGGGAGGGGGGGTTTGCCCTCTTAGAACAAGAAAAAAAATCAAGCCAAACACTAAAAAGGCAAACATCTACTATAACATATTTTAATTTTATTACAAAATATATTTTTGTCATGATTTGTATTTGCAGATTGCATTATAAATAAAAAAATAAAATCTTAGTCTTGTATATTGTGTGTGTGTGTGTAGGGTGGAGTGTGGGTGTGTGTATGGTGGTGTGTGTGTGTGTAGGGTGGGATTTTTGGGGGGTGTATAGTGGGGTGTGGGGGTTGTATGTGTACAATGGGATCTGGGGTATGTGTGTAGGGTGGGGTTTGGGGGTGTGTATGATGGGATGTGGGGGTGTATGTTTCCGTGGGGTGTGGAGTATGTGTGTGTATGGTGGGATGTGGGGGTATGTAAAGGTGTGTATGTATGGTTGGGTATGGGAGGGGATGTCTGTGTGTAGCGTAGGGTTTCATAGTTTCATAGTTGGTAGGGTTGGAAGGGACCTGAGCAGTTCATGTAGTCCAACC